TGAGGCTTCACTGGTAGCTGATGTGCAGAGAGCTCAGGAGATGGTTAATAGAATATGGCATCTCTTGGGGCAAGATAGACGGGAAACCAGAAAATTTATTGCTCAATCTACACAATTAAAATAAATCAATAATAGATCATCAATAGGCTAGGTAACTTCCCCAATAAAAGGACAAAATCCCTACCCTTTTTGTTGATCTGAAGATGGGAAAGATAGCCAGTTTACCAATACATAACTCATCACGGGACAGACTAGATCTCCAGAAGGAAGGATACAGCAAGATCATGACAAGGGTATATGGAAATAATTCTCCTAGGACTTCCACAAAGAAATTTATGGACATTTACTTAATAACTTTAAACTGAGAATAGGGGAAATACCCAAACATTTTGAGGAATGTTGGATACAGAGTACATAGGAAATAACAAATAAAGTCCTGGCTCAGGTTTGGCTTAAGGAGTCTAAAGATCCACACACTGCTTATTCCCCAGTCCCTAAAAATATAAGTAATAGGAAGAAACTCCACACTGGTGACTAAGCCTAAGCCTGTGGGGTAAGAGCAACCATAATGAAGAACACCAAGTACAAGCTTCAGAAACAGTCTCTGGTCCCCATCTTTCCTTCCTGGGATTGAATTTCTCACTCCCTCAACAATGCAAAGCTAAGTCCCCATCTCCTCAATAAGGGGGCCATTCCTTCTCAGGGGAGCCTGAATCAAATGGTTGATGAGAAGAATATAAAGGTAGACTCCTTTGCCCAATTTTTGACAACTCTGCTATCAACATTCCTAGCTACAGAGCACCCACAGATTGGCTGAGGTGTTTGTGGTGCTCACCTTCTCTCTCTACCCAGTCTTGCTTCTTTTACCATCCCACAGTGGGGTAATGCCCAGGGTACTCCCCAATAAACTTTCAAATGCAAATATTAGTCCCCTCAGAGTCCACTTCACAGTGACCTGACCAACATTATTATCCTTTCCCTTTTCAATAAAAGAATTGTGAAACTTGCTCAGCAAAATAAACTCATTGGTTTATTTTGGTCAACTCATCCAAAGTGTTAGGTATATTAAGTGAACATTTGTGGTTTTCTTAATGTGAAAATAACCTGGATTTGGTAAAATGTAAATTAGAAAAAAAGTTGATTCTTTTGTTTGGGATCAGCCTAGCATTCCTATCAGAAGTTAACATCAAAGAATTCCAGGTAGAGAGGTGGTTATTTCTTTGGGGAGTTGTCTGCCTGCCTTCCATTCTTAGGAATTCAAACTTGCCTTGAGCCACACCACTGAGTAGAAAGGAGCCTCTTTTTCTCTTGGGTCATTGCATGAAAAATGGTGAGAACCTTTGTTGAAATCCTCTGGACATGAAATGAATAGGTTTTTTTTCTTTTCTCTACAGTAATTAAATTATTGTTTTTAATAATAGTAAATCAGGAACATTTCTAATACCTTAACTAATAATAATAAAAAAAAAAGAGTAAGTAGGGGAAAAAAAAATTAACTTCAATTAAAAATTTTGGGTTCAGACTGGCTTCTATCCATTGCTTTTAGAAGACTTTATAGCCATTACAACCTAGGATATAAAACCCTAAATAACTGAGAAAGGTACTAATGCCTACCAAGTATCCACTATGTGCCTGCCATTATGCTTGGCAAATTCATATGCATTCTTTCATTTAATCTTCATAATCATCATATGTTTTAATTATTCTCCCCATTATATAACAAGTAGAGGGCGGGGGAATGACTTGGCTAAAGTCAGACAGCTCATCAACTGAATAATCAAGGTTAGAACCCAGGTCCTAAATCCAATATCAAAGGTCTTTCTACAGCTAATTTGATTGTGTGCTTTGTAACTAAAACCCATTTCCTACTCATGGCATTTTTTAAGGTCTTAAAAATTGTATTATGCTTACCAGAAGTATTGTGATTTTATGGAGTTAGGCTCTATTGACATTTTTATTTCATTTGTCCAAAAAATCATAGAGAAATTAGTGGAATGTTTGATAAGAGAAATTCCATTGTTTGCCTCTGAAAGCTGTAGACTATATCAATATCCGTTTAATTGTTTGGTCTGAACTTTTGGAACATCTTTTCAATTGTGCAAAATAAGAATTCTGTATTTAAAATATAATTAGCTGTGGCTCCTATGTGTATGTATGTGTGAGTCTGCTCTTGTTTGTGTATTTAATTTACATGACATATTATATTGCCTCCTGGAAGGGAATTAATAGACTATTAGAATGGTTTAGAAATAATCAATGTAATTGAGAAATGACCCTCTGCCTATTTCATCAGTGGTTTTAAAGGACACCAGGATGATGGGAGCAAAGCCATGGTTTTCCTAAATGAGTATGAAATCAATGACAATGATTCTCTCAGACAATGACTGTGCAGGAGAAAGGGTAGCACTCTTCCTCTTGTGGTGGTTCTCTAAATGTTTGATACAAATGACTCCAGCACTGACTGAATGGTAATCAAAGGAATAACTTCAGGAAGTAAATCCTTTGACTTGACCATTTTAGTTAAAAGACACCTTTCTGAAAGAGCTAGGAGAGTATTATAGTAATAGCCTTGAGGGGCTCTAATTTTAATAAAGTAAATAGCTGGGAGAAGAAAATGTATTTATCTTGATTCCACAAAGTATTTATGAGTAATTGTATGTGTTGCCTTAAATCAAAAGCAGAATTTTGTCAGCAACAAACATCTCAGTTTTCTTTCCCCTCTGGAGAAGAAAACCAGGAACCACAACGTATCATTCATGTCAGTATATCCAGAGCAACTTTCCTTGGTTCTAGGTCTGGAGAAATGACTCAGGGTGCATTAGATTATTATCCATCAAGGAGCATTTTCTGATTGTTATTACTAATACTTCATTTTAATATTTTGGTCAGTGTATTACTATGTGGTAAAACTCCAGGCTACCCAATGTAGTCTATTTTGACACTGACTTGAAAGGGTGACACAAGAACCCTATTCAGTCCTCTAACAAATGACTAATTTTATGTAACACTGCAGTTGTTCTGTAAGTGCAAAAGCTTTGGTTTAGTTACTAAAGCAAACACTGCATATTCTGTCCAATGAAAGCTCTGATGGCGTGCAGTTAAACTATTAGAGTGATAAGAATTATTTATTGTGTGTTTACATTACAACTTTCTAAACTGCTCTGTTTCATTCAATATCTTGAACGTTTAATATGACTAATCGCTTCTTGCTCTGGTAATGAGCATGTTCTTTGATAAATTGTTTGAGTGTTCAGGAATATAAATTGAAAATACTTCAATTCTTGTGTAGAGCACACAAGTTGATAAAGAGAATCTCACACAGGTTCTTCAACATTATTTACTTCCAGAAAGATTGTGGAAAATTAACATAGGCTTTGGAAAGTTAACCTCCTCTCATTGCAAGATTAAAAAAACAAAACACACAACTATAAACATTTGAGCAATCACAGAACAGGTGAAAAAAAATCATGACGGTCTACTTTACACACACACACACACACACACACAGCCATTAAATAATTTGTATTTTCTGAAGCATTTGTAAAGGCTAAAGGAAGATGTTGAAATAACTATAGATGATGGTAGTGGTTGGGGAGATAAGGCAACACCACCACTTATCTTTATTTGTAATGTCACCCCATTATTTAAGTCACAGAGATATGTAGATATATCTTTATCAATTGGCTTTGGTTTATTTGTAGACAGATGTTATTATTTATGTTGAACCCAGCACATCGCACATTCATAAAGCCAGATGGATGACACTGCTTACAGGGAATTCAGTGCTTGTCTATAAAGGCCAGATGGGTGCCGCTCACAAAAAGGTTTATGTTGGCCAGCTATGGCTGTACTCCAAAGAGTAACGAAATGTTCTCAATTCTCCAAATAATTTCTGTACTCTTTTTCGCCTATTGTAATTGTCTGCAGAACTTTTCAGGACTGAGACTTACCAGTGATATAATCATATACATTCTATGTCTAAAGACACTTGCTCTTTTGACCGTACATAAAAAAAAAAGGTAAGGCACTTAAGTAACCACTGGAGCCAAAGAAAATAAACGAGTCAGATGGTAAGCAGATTTTATGCTGGAGTTTTCTTTCATTTATACATGGTTTTGAGTCTATAGATATAGCTAAAATTATGTCCAAATGTACAAGAGATCTTTTTGATGGAAAATACCCCTAATCCATTAATTTCACCTGTATTAACACACAAGATTCCAAAACCTTGTGGTGAGTGAAAATCAAGCCAAAGCTGGATGGAGACTAAATTGATGTTCCATCTCTATGTGGTTTCCTCATAAAACATTTATGTTTGCAACTTGTTCTCTTTGATGACGTGGTGACAAAATTTGTTATGCTTGCTTTCTTAAGATTTCAGTCTCATAGCTTGCTGTGGTATAATATTATGATTACTTAAAAATCCTACTTTCACAACAGACTTTAAATTCAAAAGAGAACCATCTCAAGGCTTTGTAAATATTCAGATTTCTGAATATGACAATAACAAATTATTTTCCCCATTAAACTTTTTATATTCTAAGACCCATGACTTTCTTAGGTTGTTTCACATTCTCTTTCACTTCTGCCTCTAGAAGTAGGAATTCCCTCTCATTTGAGGACTATTTTTTCACAGGGAAACACAGTATGTAACACCTCATGGTTTGTACTGTGTACATGGTGACAAGTAGAAGATAATAGATCTTAGCTGTGCAAATGAGGTCAGTAAGCTTCCAGCTTGCATTACGTCCAACTCAAATTCTTAATGGTTACAAACTAATGCTGAAAATATTGATCTTAAGTTTGCATGCTCAGATCTTACCATGTTGCCTAACCCAATACACTTGTACACGATAAAGCTTTTAAGGCTTTGGAGATATATGGATATTTAATGTGACTGAGCAGAGGAAAGAACCATCTCAATTTAGGAGAGGGGAAGCACAAATCTCTCCCCATGATTGAAGTCGTTCTTTATTTCCTTCAAATTTCTCCAGATGCTCTCGCCAAGCGCTGCCAACATGGTGTTCAGGCGCTTCGTGGAGGTTGGCCGGGTGGCCTACATCTCCTTTGGGCCTCATGCCGGGAAGCTGGTCGTGATCATAGATGTTATTGATCAGAACAGGGCTTTGGTTGATGGACCTTGCACTCAAGTAAGGAGACAGGCTATGCCTTTCAAATGCATGCAGCTCACTGACTTCATCCTTAAGTTCCCACACAGTGCCCTCCAGAAGTATGTTCGAAAAGCCTGGGAGAACATCAATACAAAATGGGCAGCCACAAGATGGGCCAAGAAGATTGAAGCCAGAGAAAAGAAAGCCAAGATGACAGATTTTGATTGTTACAAAGTAATGAAGGCAAAGGAAATGAGGAACCGAATAATCAAGCTTGAAGTTAGGAAGCTTCAAAAGGCAGCTCTCCTGAAAGCTTCTCCCAAAAAAGCACCTGCTGCTAAAGGTGCCGCTGCAGCTGCAGCAGCTGCTGCAAAGGTTCCAGCAAAAAAGGTGACCGCTGCAGGCAAGAAGGCTCCAGCCAAGGTTCCCGCTCAGAAACCTACAGGCCAGAAGGCAGCACCTCCAAAAGCTCAAAAGGGTCCGAAAGCCCCAGCCCAGAAAGCACCTGCTGCTCCCAAGGCATCTGGCAAGAAAGCATGAGAACATGTGGGGCTACTATAAACATATAATAAAGGTTCTTTTTAACACACACACACACACACACACACACACACACACACACACAAATTTCTCCAGATATTTCTTCCTCTGTTTTTAGTATATGTGCTATTATATTAGTGTGAACATTTAAAACTGTGAAAAAAATGATCAGAGAGAAATTACAATTGAACAGGAGAGAAGAATAATGGATGATTAAAAGATCTGAGGCTGTCTAATAGTCACAGCCAAGTTATCAATGTTCCTTTTAAGAAAATATTGATATATTGGGGTGGCATTGGTTAATAAAATTATATAGGTTTCCAGTGTACAATTTTATGATACATTATCTGTATATTATATTGTGTGTTCACCACCCAGAGTCAAGTCTTCTGTCACCATTTATACCCATTTACCCTCTTTTGCCTTCCCCTCTTCTACCTTCCTCTCTTCTACAGATCACCATACTGTTATCTGTATCTATGAGGTTGTTGTTGCTGTTTGCTTAATCCCTTCATCTTTTTCACCCAGCCCCCAAATCCCTCCCCTGACAACTGTCAGTCTGTTCTCTGTATCTATGAGTCTGCTTCTATTTGTTGATTAGTTTATTTTGTTCTTTGATTCCATATATCAGTGAAATCATATGGTATTTCTCTGGCTTATTTCACTTAGCATAACATTCTCCAGGTCCATCTATGTAGCTGCAAAAAGTAAGATTTCTATATTTTTATGGCCAAGTAGTATTTCACAGCTTTTTTTTTCATTTATTAATATTTTTTGCTTAATAACTTCATCCTTTTTACCTAGCCCCGCGACCCCACGCCCCTGACAGCTGTAAATATGTTCTCTATCTATGAGTCTGTTTCTATTTTTTTGTAAGTTTATTTCTTTTCATTAGATGCCACATATGACTGAAATCATATGATACTTGTCTTTCTCTAACTGGCTTATTACATATAGCATGATAGGTCCATCCTTGCTATAGCAAAGGGTAAGATTTTCTTTTTTTATGATTGAGTAGTATTCTCTTGTATAAATGCACCATAACTTTTTTATCCACTCATCTACTGATGGACACTAGGGCTGTTTCCAAATCTTGGCTTTTGTTAATGCTGTAATGAACATAGAGGTGCAAATATTCTTTCGAATCCAGATATTTCAATATAGCTTCTCTTTACACAAAGTTTGAGAAACAATGAACGAAACAACAAATGGAAAATTCCTTCAAGTTTTAGGTGTCAGGGACAAGGGTTCGGCATGGATGTTACTTAGATTGTTCATTGAGAAGGCTCAGAGCAAAAAGAGCAGTTCTGTATAATCCATCCACACTGCTTAGGGGCCAGCAAGCCAAAGAGATGGATAGACAACTATGTTACCACACCTGGCTCTTCTGGTTTTCAAAGTAGTAGGATTTATTTGCAGTTTAAAATACAACATTATGGTTTTGTCGAAGAGTGAACATGGCTCCATTGTCTCCCCTCCACCCCCAACCCCCGCCCCCGGAATCATGAAGTAGCATCTATGGCTCTAGCAGTAGTTACCTCAGTAGTCTTGGCCCACTGAGAGAGGGTCTAAAGTGAAGGACTTGGGTGGGCATTGCCATGTGGTCAAAACAGTTTATCTTAGTGCACTTAGGGTAATATATGAAAGTGGGACAAGATCTCTGAGATTTTTGCAAATCTGATCTCCTTAAAGATCTGTTATAATTAGAAATAAAGCATTGTACAATATTAGAAATTGCCATGGCCCATTATTATGGTGTTTTCCCCCAAAATAAAAAGAGTTAGCTTTATACATTAAACAGAATGTCTTTTAAAGGTTTATAAAGTATTGTTATTAATTGCATAAATATATGTAGTTATTACAATCCAATTGCTTTAGGAAATTTTATAATGAATAGTGTGTTCTTAATTGGACTGATAACATTTTCCCTGCCACATTTAATACTGACTTTAGTGACAGCACTATTTCTAAAACTTACAACAGATTTGGATGCACTGGAAAAGGTTCAGAAGCATATAAATATGGAGGTTAGAAATGAAGTTCAGGAGGAATAGTAATTAGTATTTTGGTTTGTTTTTTAGCTAGAAGAAGATAAGCTGTAATTATATTGATATTTATTATTCAAATATCTGAATAAAATGATACTATTTGGAAACAATAAGAATATTTTGTCTGTAATAATCTGAATATTTAGGCCCCAACATAGGCTTCTAAAAGATGATTCTAAACTCCAAGAACTGTAGAGATAATTATTGCAAAAGAAAAATTAAAATTGGCACTTGATTTTTCTTGCTTGATTTGTATGGGTTTCTATTTCTCTAGACTGTACATAAACAAGGAAAAGCCAATATTATAATTTTTGTCAATTATTATTTAATCTTTACTAGATTTTAATCACACAGAACAAAAGTGACCAACTTTTAAGGACTTACAATTGGTTCCAAACGCATTATACATTTACAAATTTTTCTAAATGTTCTAATTAATTAGAAATAATTGCTAGTTTGATTTTGTGACTGAAGCAGATGTATAACATTGATAGTAACACCAAAGGAATGTTTTAATTTATTAGAATGCTATGACATCTTCAAGGTTGGTACCTAAATGTAAGCTAAAGCAGTGATCTGTGAATTAGTTTCTATATGCAAAGGTAGAGTTGCTATGGATATTTAAATAGGATTTGACTGAAAAAGAAAGTTCTCTGGCTAAATCAAAGCATTACAACATTTTAGTAAAGTGTAGATTTTATTTTACTTTCCAACCTTGAAAATGAATTTCCCCAAGCATGAAAGGCAAAAGATGAGAAGGCTGGGAAGAAGGTAGTTTCTGTACAGTGAAGCACTTATTTCAATGTAATTGCCACCATTCCACTTCAGTCTTTATTTCCAAAGTCTAATCAGGATTTCTTTTGTGGTCATCTACAACTAAAGATGTCGAACTGATAACAAAGAACCATTAAGTTGTTCTAATAATTGGATGGTAGACAATTCATTTTGGCTCAAGAGGCTGGAGGTGAACCTGACAAAGAAACCGAGGCAATTCCTTTTCAATTCTAAGATCTCTCAAGGCTGAAATTGATTGAGAAGTCCTGGACGTAGAAATGATCCCTCATTCTCTGACCAAATCTGGTCTAGATCATCTTAACCAGAGATACAGAGTGGGGATGAGAAAAGATCTAAGATAAATAACTACAGCATTTATCTCTTTCATCTTTGGTTATACTTACACTGACAGTTCTGATCAAATTAAAGTTGATGCTATCTTTTGTACAACTCCTTCCTCAAGGGAAGCTCCTTAGTAAGCAGGGTGTGGAGAAAGACAATACAAACTATGACATGCTTGTGTTGGAGGTTCCCTGGCCATATACCAACTTTCTATCATGTGTGCACCATTTCTTATTACTTTCAGTATCTAATGCTTTTCTTTTGGCTGAAAATGAATACTTTGCTGGTGATTGAATAGAATGTGTAAATCAAATCTTTACAATTGATAGGAAAAAATATGACAGATAAGAACAGAGAAAATTAGAGGAGTGCGTAGTGTTAGTTATTGGGGAATCAAAATACAAAGAGATGACTTTGAGTCATGACAGATGCAGGTTCCCCTCTATAATACCCATTATATACTAGAGGCATGATACACGAAATTCATGCGGGGGCCGGGGAGGTCCCTCAGCCAGGTCCCTCTTGCAATCTGGGATCCCTCTCTCCTAACAGCCCACCTGCTTGTTCCTTACCACTTGGGCTGGCCACTCCTTAGCACTGCTGTGGAGGTGGGAGAGGCTCCTGCAACCGCCATCATCGCTGAGCTCGCCAGCCGTGAGCGTGGCTTCTGGCTGAGCAGTGCTCTCCCTGTGGGAGCGCACTGACTACCAGGGGGCAGCTCCTGCATTGAGCGCCTGCCCCCTGGTGGTCAGTGTGTATTTTAGTGACTGGTAGTTCCACTGTTTGGTTGATATGCATTTTAGGGTTTTATAATATAGGACTAGAGGCCCGGTGCACAAAAATTTGGGCACTCGGGGGGTAGGGGGGTCCTTCAGCCCGGCCTGTGCCCTCTCGCAGTCTGGGACCCCTCAGGGGATGACCACCTGCTGGCTTTGGTCTGCTCCCCGGGGGATTGGGTCTAAGATCGCAATCTGACATCCCTCTGGCAGCCTGGCAGCCCGGCAGCCCTCGGGGGATGTCTACTTGCCAGCGGGGAGCAGGCCTAAACTGCAGTCAGACATCCTTAGTGCTGCTGAGGAGGTAGGAGAGGCTCCCACCACCACTGCTGTACTGGCAGCCATCAGCCTGGCTTGTGGCTGAGCAGAGCTCCTCCCATGTGAGAGCGCACTGACCAACAGAGGGCAGCTTCTGCATTGAGCGTCCGCCCCCTGGTGGTCAGTGTGTGTCATAGTGATCAGTCATTCCCAGTCCTTCTGCTGTTAGGGTCAGTTTGCATATTACTCATTTACTATATAGGATAGAGGCCTGGTGCATGGGTGGGGGCTGGCTGGTTTGCCCTGAAGGGTGTCCTGGATCAGGGTAGGGGTCCCCAATGGGGTGCCTGGCCAGCCTGGGTGAGGGGATGATGGCTGTTTGCAGCT